CATACAGTTTCCTAACATGAAATTTGTAATTTATCGTAGTAATGAGTTATTAGAAATATACATGATTAAACTCATAACAACCAACTCTGTCCGATTCCACTGTATAGAGTTCTTTAACACGTATATTTACTTACTTACTTACTCATGAAACTCTCATCGCGGCGGCCCGGGTTTGATCCCGGGTCTGGCCAAGTGGGATTTGTGGTGGACAAAGTGGTGCTAGGGCAGGTTTTCTCCGAGTACTTCGGTTTCCCCTGCCAATCTTCATTCCACCAATTGCTCTACAATCACCCTCACCTATCATCTGGGGCTGGTACAATAGGCCAGAAATGGCCGCAGTAAAAGGGACTTAGTCCCATCCCACTAGCAAAAAAAATACTCATGGAACTGAGCCCTTCTGGAGGAGCCTCCAATTCTGCAGCTACTCAAGAATTTCCCAGCATTTTATGGAACCCGAATGTTCATTACCGTGTTCACAAGAGCCCTTCACTGGTCCATATCCTGAGACAGATCAATCCAGTCCATAACATCCATCCTATCTCTCTAAGATCAATTTAAATGTTGTCCACCCACCTACGCCTTGGTCTTCCCAGTGGTCTCTTTCCTTCTGACTTTCCCATCAATATTCTATATGTAATCTTCATCTCCCTCATTCATACTACATTTCCTGCCCATCTTATCTTCCTTGACTTGATAATTCTAATTATACTTGGAGAATAGTACAAGTTATGAAGCTCCTCATTATGCATTTTTCTCCAATCTCCTGTCACTTCATCTCTCTTCGGTCCAAATATTCTCCTCAACACCCTGTTCTCAAACACACTCTGTCTATGTTCCTCCCTTAATGTCAGGAACATAGACTGAGGGGACGGTGATTTTAAAAGAGAATACGAAGTTGATGATTATGAATAAGATAAAGTGAAACATGAAGATGACGTTCTGTAGCTATTTACAGCGATCATAATAACTTTTTTTTAAGAGAAATGTGAGCACGGTGTTTGCTTATTTATTTAAAAGAACTTTGACTCGGACCCACTCCTTATCTTCCCGTTCTAGTTCCGGAGTTTTAGCCTTCTGTTCCCTTACCACACTATCCTCGTTGTTTTGGAATTGCATGGTTTGCTCTGTGCTTACGTATGAATAGGCTCCTTTCCGCATCAAGAGAAAGAAGCACCAGAAGCCTGTGTGGGATAAATGGAACCCCAGTTCCTGTACTGATGCTTTGTATTATTACCTGTGAGCCTTGGTGCAGGGGTGATAAAATTTCAGCATATTGTATGGTTTACACTGTAACTTTTCCATAAGTTTTACTAAGAAACAAACGAAACTTCTGTTTCTGTATTTCCATGTTAATTTATGATTTCTTGTAACGTAAACCCACGCGTATGTTCACCTGTCAGATGATTACACCGAGATATTTTACATGATTCTCGAAGGAGATATTCTGTCTATTCACTATAAGATGAGCCTCAGGGGGCCTAAGTCTATGAGAAAAGTAGATGGCCTGAGTCTTATCTTCATTGATTTTTATGCTTCAGAGCTCAGACCACGTCTCAGTAGCATTGAGACCTCGCTGCAGCTTTCTGAGAACATAACCCACTTTGCAGTCTGTCGCATAATTTCTGATGTCATCAGCAAAGAGACCTAGATAGACGCGAGGTGTTCGGGGCGTGTCATTTATATATATACTGTACAATACAGGGGACAGGACGGAATCTTGTGTCATTTCTTCGTGGAGGCATTTCACCTTTGATCGAGACTCTGAATTTTTTTCTGAGAAAGAAAGCTTGATCAGACTAATCGAAAATTTTAATTTACGTAATTTATATAACAAGCAAAGGTGCCATTTTATATCAAAGGCCTTTTAAATATCCAAGAATACCGCAGCCGTAGACATGTTATTGTTCAAATTTAGGGCGACGTGGTCCATAAGCCTCACACATTGAAGTCACGTGCTGTCATGGGCATGGAAACCGAAACTGGTTTGCATTAAGTAGGCCTCTTTCTTCAATGTGCCTTTGGACTATTTCTAGAATAACTTTCTCGAATAGCTTGCCTGTTATGGACAAGCGGATAATCGGACGTATATTCTCAGGAAATGTTGGATCCTTACCAGGTTTTGGTAACTAACGTTTGCTTTCTTCCAAGTCTTTGGAAAATTGGACACCCGAAGGCAGTGATTACATAAATGTGTCAGATGTGTCAGTGGAATTCTTGGAAGATGCCTGAGGAATTCGTTTGGAATATCATCAAGACCACAAGCCTTTCTCAGTTTCAATAAATTTACCAATTTATGTATGTCGGGGTTTTACTTTCCCCTACGGGGTGTCGTCTAAAGATGCGAGCAGAGCTTGGACTCCAGCGTCCACTCGTTGCTCACGGTTCTCGTAAAACACGTCATGAGATGTGAACTGTTTTTCTAAACAACCCGCAGTCGCGTTGAATTTCTCGTTTGGGTGATACGTTATTCCTAATGCGCCATGAAAAGCAGTTGATGCCTTTGATCCATCCATTTCCGCGTAGAAAACACCGTCTTACCTAGCAATGGCTCGCTTGTTTGATGACGTAAGAACATGCTTGCTATGCCATTGGCTAGCAAAGGTTGACATCTCCTGTTAAACCAATCGGTCATGTCATAATATTTAAAAGGTTCCGAGCATTGCATGATTAGGGGCGTAATTTTCTTCTCCCAACCAGAGCAGTTTCTCTTAAGCGGACAGATGGTCATGCAACCAGAAGCAAACTAATGCTAGTGGGGTGGGACTAAGTCTCTTGCATTGCGGCCACTTCTGGCCAATTGTACCAAGAAGCAAACTAAATAATGTTTTTGTTTTCGGAGAATTGATGAACAGGTATCTACAAGTATATTCATTGACGGATAAGTCGAGGGGAACGTTTTGAGTTCCTGCTTATTCCATCTCGCTGGACAAAGTCCTGTAATTTTCTTCAGCACACATGTGTACATTACAATAACCATACCGACCCCTTCCGGAGGTAGCTGCTTCCATTTCATACCAAAATATATAGTGTCCTGCCCAGACGTGTGATTGACATCACGAGATATCTGTGATTTTCCCTTCAGTTTTACCGCGCGATCTAAGATACGTACGGTCTAAGGCAGCTCGGTTCGCAGGTTCGAATCCCTCTTGGGGCTTTAATGTAACTAATTTAAAGGAATGGAATTCTTCTTTAAGCTAATTATAGCTCAGTCACATCCCAGAAGACGGCATTCTTCATAGTGACCGCCGTGACAACCTCAAATCTTACATCATCCTAGCCTTCACCTTCACTGGAGAAAATCGGTTGCTGCAGAAACTTACATGGCGAAATTAAGCAATGCAGTTCCGTTTATCAAAGTTATAGTGGATTCCGTATTGAATTAATACATAGCTAAAGGGTTCCTTAGAATTTAAAACAGTGCTTGTTGTCAGGTGACAGTGCTTTTCGTGTGGAGGGAATAAATTGATTTTGACTCTAAACCACGCGTACAACAGCAAAATTAGTAATGGTTCCCGATTTTTCTAAACAAACAACATTCTTCATGTATACTTACTCGCTATCTTTATTCGTTTCCGAGATATACGGACGATGGCAAACGGACACTTTGAATTACATTTACCGGCTATGGGTTAGGCGTATTTGCAGTCCAGTTATGTTTAACTCGTTGCACTGATACCCAATATTAAAAATAATACAAAACATAGATTTTAAGCTCAATCACTCACTCATGGAGCTGAGCCCTTCTTGAGAAGCCGCTAGTTATGCAACTACTTAAGCATTTCAGAACATTTTATGGAACCCGCAGGTTCATTACCGTGTTCACAAGAGCCCTCCACTGGTCCCTATCCTGAGCCAGATCAATCCAGTCCCTACGATCCTATCCTATCTCTCTAAGACGCTCACTATCTTTCGCCTAGGTCGTTTATCCAAAGAATCCGTCCAGGTCAAAGGCTTCTTGTAATCTTTCGTAACAAGTTTATTTTTTACTGTAAGGAGTTGTTAGCCCCACGCACAACTCCCAAGCTGGAGGATCACCCCTTGTCGGCTGTCCGCGACAGCTTATTCAATATAGTCGCAGCTACCCTCCGTATCTGGAAGCCGTCTCCTCAATCCGCAACCTGAGGACGCGCCATGCCGTGGTGACAAGAGACCCACTTAATAAGAATCTTAAAAAGCTATTCTGCGTATTTTTATATATATAAAAGTGACCAAAGATGACATTGGAGAAAATTCTCTCGCTAGATCTACATACCGGTAAAGCTAGTACTACATAAACCAACTCCTGCAGCTCTGTGTCACGCAGCATCGTCGCGGTTTTATTGAGTACAGAGGCAATAGCGTTAGTTATACTGCATGTTTGTTGCTCGCTGAGTAAACTACTTCCACCGTAGATAATATCGCCCGCACAGAAGTCGCCTGAAGCTGTCGATGTTAGTCCCATCCGCCACGTCCGCTGCGCGTTCAGCTGACTCTAACCACCTCTAAATATTGGATAGTGCACGGGAATTGTACTGAGGTTGAAGGGAAGTGTAGGTTTATCAACACAGTCTTGACTACTCAATTCCTTCCAGCGAGTACATGTTGTAACCATCATATCTTCCTAGCCCTCAGACTGAACCTTTATCTCAAAGATGTGTGAGGAAATATGAGCCGTTTATTGTGGAAATCAAGCACAACCCATGAATGCACTTACATACAAATTTAAATCTTCAAGACAGAAGATACACACAATGACCATATATTCGTGTACATACAAGATGCTTAAACTTAAAAATATAAATGACTTTTATTCAATCGGTGTACAACCAATGTGATTCGGCAGTGTGGAGGGAAACACATAATACAGAAGCACCCTTAGTCTTTGACCATGACTTGACAAGCATTAGGTGTGAATATGAGTACATGACGTCAGACACTACGTAGGAACCCTTATCTGTGGGTGTTTTATGGTACATGCTGATGACTTCTACAGGTTCCCTCGTTCTGTTATGTTGTTGTTGTTGTTGTTGTTGTTGAGTCGTATGAAAACTGACTTTAGAGAGTCCTGTCAACCATTACCAAACGAATAACGTTCATATAGAAGTAATAACTTGTTAATACTTTGTTTTACTAAAGAACGGACTCTATAAAGTACACATCTGTTACAAATGAGTACGGATTAAATAAAAACGTTTTGTAATTTGAACTCTTTTCTCATGAATAAAATGTGCTCAGTAACTTTTACTTTCGTTAGGATGCCTCTATTATCCTTGACTTTTTATTCATTCGAACAACTGCATCACCTATGCAGCTGTATGATGCATGCAGTTGCTGATTTTAAATCATATGTATCGAAAATGAATTTCAATACTTTTGGAGCGTGAAATGCTAACATTAGATACAGATTGTATTATGCGCTCTGTTTAGGTACTGAAGCTGAAGAGTTGACAGATTTCGATAAAAATATATACGATCGCAACACCACTGTTTGCTAGTCGAGAACAGAAATTTCTGATTTCTTCATACAGCCTAATGCATGTTACACTAAGGTCTTGGAGGTTTGGCTCAATAAAAGTATCCATGTAACAGGCCGTGGAGGCCCATAGGGTTGTGAGATGTTGAGGTTCCCACATTTTCTGCATAAGTGGCTGATAGATGGCGGTAAGGTTGTCAGCCTTACGCGCCTTACACACACTCATACAGGACCTACAACAATCTCAATTACTGCATAGTAGCAATCGCAATTACGAACGGTTGTTCAAAGCCTAATAATTCTGTTAACGAAAAAGAACCATGGTAACAAGCAAACAGAAATTCAGTTACAGGTAGAGAGTACCCGGGGGAAGGGAAAAAAAGGAGATAAGGGAGAACTTTACAACATTTAAACTGTAGTTGCCTAGCTACATTTTTCGGTTTAACAAAGCAACATAACGTCATCCTTATTCAAACTACCTTCACGCTTCATGTTGTGATATGGAGAACAGAAGTTTTACCCTGAAGACAGAGGTACAATATTCCTCAGAAACGTTGCTACCCACCCACCAAACAACCCACCATCGCGACTCAGAAGACCACAATACGAACCTTCACTGCCATGAAAATATCAAATCTTTCACGGGCCTACTTACACGTACCTTTGTCTCCCTCAGTAACAACAATTTAGGCCATCATGTAGCCTAACGGAGAGGCCTACATTATTCAGAAAATGAACACTGTCATGTACTTCTGTATGTCCGCGTTAATTTATATTTCGTAATGATGAAAGTAACAAGCGTCAAGAGATGACAGAAGAATTCTGTTTTCAGTGGTGTTATCAAACATGGCAACATTCAGAACGAAATTAGTCGATGTTTATTAGCACAAAAATCTCGTTTATATCATGGATGCAGCGAAGGAACAAGTTCTTAATCAAAGAAAAGTATGTTTCTGTAATGTCCCTTATCTAAGAATCCTTGGAATATACCAACTATACAGCAGTAAAAATGGATGAATGAATTATAACAATATTTATTTTACTTCCTGAATTCCACAGATTTTAACACAATCATTCCGGGCTTCTTACTGATGGTCATATACGTATGTTGATGTCACTCTACCATTTCCTGTTGTAAGGTTCGATGCGGAACTTCTGGTTATGTCCGCCATGTTTCCCGAACCCAATGATTCGCGTTCCTTGGTGTGATCTGCCACCCTCGATATCCATAACCAACCCAGTGCCGCTCCTGATGGTGAAGTCATCGTCAAAATACCACTTTTGATTGCTACCTCCATGGGGGCTGTATGTGATAAGCGGGGCACCGTGTCCACTCTGCGCGATGTCCAAAACATAACTGAAACAGGAAACACTTGTTAATTACAACTGAGCACCTGAATACTAAGATTCCATACCACAGCCTGGCAAGAAGTCCGCATTTATTTTTTCTGATGAATCAGTTGAGAGTGGAAACGGTAACAAGGTTATGGTCTTTTGGATGGGACATGTGTAGTTCGGTATAGAGGTACCAGTGTCATGCAGGAAATTACTGCCTCCATCTTCCAAGTATATATACTCTGAATATACGCGGGTTCAAACCCGGCGGAGGTTGTGGAATTTTTACGGGCGGAAAAATTCAGGGAACAAGATCTCCGGGAGGGACTTTAAGCCGTGGGTCCCGTGTCGTAGATTTACGGCACGTAAAAGATCCTCATGTCTCCAGGAGACCTCTGAGTAAAATTATGCAACACATTTCCCGTCCAAGTAGTTTCCAATGCCTCTGGTAGATGGGGGAAATATCAGGTACCGAGGGCTGACCTCGTTGGCTGAAGGGGGCTGATAGCACGCACCAGTACTGGTAGGGTATGGCGACAGTAGAAATTAAAGGGGGACGCACAATGGACCAATAACTGGTCTAAATGCTTGGGGAAACCCACCGCCTCTAATAATAATAATAATAATAATAATAATAATAATACCCTGAATATGTAGCCAGTAGTTTCTTCTAAACGTAGGTACCTGTCTACCTAGCTACATGGCATCACGTGCAAGAAGACTTTAATATTAATACTTACCGCCGTGAGAACCTTAGAAAATCACTCCCAAATGTTATGGAAAAGAAAGGTCCGTTATCTTCTCTCTCTCTCTCTCTCTCACATGGACACACACACACACACACAGAGTTTGTACTCCTCGTAGAATCTTCTTCTGAACCTGTGCAGTTCAGTTCATATTATCGCAATCTATTTCAATAATATCCATTTAATATTATTTCTCCGCTTAATCCTGTCTTGCCAGTGTTCCTGCCCATGAATTCTGCATACTGACTGGGTGACTGTGTGAATGCGAGATGACTAGACACAGAAAGAGTAAGAGAGTAAATATGCAGATTGGAGGCAGATGAAGTAATTGGGCGAGTAGTTAAAATGTAAAGCTACTTGGGTGAGGATGAGTGGATGAAATAGAAAACGCATTTCAGGTTTTGATTGAGCTGAAGTATCATGGTCCGGCGTAGGATTAAGGCAGGAGTACTAAGATCATGGGTAACCACCCACTAACCTTCGGATCCGTAACCAATTGTTTGCACGGAATACGTCCGCACAGGCTGTAGTGGGCAACGTTTTCTAACCCTGCTGTGAAAATACAAGTTCCACCTGATTCTTTATCAATACATATATTCTAACAACTGAAGAGCTGTTCGAGTAATTCAGATATATAAAGTTAAAAATAAATTAAGAGAAACTTCCATCTGTGCCCAGGGAATAATGTAGCCTAATAGCGCATCACTGTAGTTTTACATGGGAGCGAAGCTTGGTCTTTGACATTAAGGCGGTGTGAGCAATAGTGTGGCTCATAACAATCCTTTACATAGCATGTTCGTCACCGAAAGCCGTGGCAATACGTACTTGCCGAGTTTACTGTAGATCATGTTGTTCTTGTATTCCCATTGCTGGTTGTTGCCCCCGTTGTAGGGCCACAAGATCACTTCTGCGCCGTTCCTTTTTTCGCCGTTTCTTATGTCCAGAACCATTCCATTGGACACACTCTTGATAATGAAAGACATGCTGAGCAGTATCTGTATAAATGCATATTGATACATGTTGTCATTACTTACGTTTACAGCTATGAAAAGTTGGATTGGTTACTATAATAATCCTGGCTCTTGCTACGAGTATTTAAGAAACAAACTGGAGGAGGACGCGAACCACACTTCGATAACCATTAGTGTGGACATTCTTTATCTCCATATAAGCATCCACGTGTCTATCCTGCTAATAACTTTTGATTCCATTAATGGGGTTTCGCATGAGAAGTGCATATAGCACGCATGTCAGTAGGTGAATGCATGTAGGAATTTGATGGGAAAACCACAAGGAAGAAAATCAGTAGGATTACCCAGATGTAGATAGGAGGATAACATTAAAATGGATCTTCTAGAAACCGGATGGAGTGGTATGGACTGATCTGGCTCAGGGTAGGGACCAGTGGAGGGCTCTTGTGAACACGGTAACATTTTAAGAAATTCTTGAATAGCTAGGCAACTGACGCCAGCTCAAGAAGAACTCAGCTCCATGGAGTTAGTTAATGGAATTTCACGAAATTCGATTTGCATACCATGCAACTGGGGGCTGCCACATCTGTTTCTGTATATCCAGTTTTTTCCCCCCATCTGTACTGGATCTTGTGGGTTTGGACACTACTAATATTCCAGGTTAGGGTCCGGAGATGTCTGGATGGTGCAAATTTAGTTGTGATTGTTTTTGGGGTGGGGGCGGGGAATATGTACCAAGAACATGTCTGTAGCTTGATACCTGTATTTAACGTTCCCAGAATTAATTCAGCATCGGAACGAGATAAATGAATTTTTGAACGGAAGCAGATAACGAACGTACGGCACGGAACATCTTTTATAGGGGCTACGTTTATAATTAAAAATATAGCGACGACACAGAACTGTGATGTTATAAACTGTGCTGTAAGGAAATATCTTTAAAGAGTCATTATTATACCCACAATTGTGTGGGGACTCCATGCATAATGAGCCTCCCGTCTGCCAAGTGAACCGCTATGGTTGTTAATCCAGTCACGTTTCACAGCGAAGCAGCTACCCTGAATAAAAGATCCGGCCACCTTCATTCCGCCTAAGCATGTCAACGCGGTAATTAATATTCTCTGTTGATAAACTCAACCAGTCTTCTGTTTAAAAACTAATAGTCGCTCAGCTGTTTAAGGAATTTCCCTTCATTTATGGACCCCGAAAATCCATTGCGCAAGAGCTTAACACTGTACTATATCTTCAACCATACGAATCTAGTTCACAGCTTCAACTCTTATTTCCTTAAGACCTGTTTGAAATTATCCTCACTTCTAGTCCTAAGTGATATCTTTCCTTTAATATTTTCCAGCTAAATTTTGTGTGGATTTGTTATCTCCTCCATAGATGTTATGTGCCCTACCAGTCGTATTGTCCTTAATTAATAATATTTGGATAAGAGTACAAATACAGAAGTTCTTCATTATGTAATATTCTTCAGTCTATGAAATATACGTAACAGAGATGTTTCAAATAATAGCCTATCTGTTATAGAACATAGATGAACTGTGCCTAGAGGGATCATGAAGATGCGTTCAAGGCTGGTTCATGATTGCGTCTGTGGAACTCAACATTTTCCTCACGCCCAAAATATATTTTCACGTATGTAAGATTTGAGGTTTTCACGGCGGTGACTATGAAGAAAGCAGTTTTTGGGGTGTGGCGCCGTGTAGATATTGTGTTAACCGGCGTTTCGGAGGAACGTATCTCCATCTTGAGGGTAGAAGAAAACAGAAGAAAATCCGCGAGCGAGGAACTAGAGTGAGCATACATGTAGAGACATNACTCAGCCTCTAACAGAAATGAGTACGAGGAATTAATTAAATAATTTTCCTAGAGAGTAAAGCGCGGCCGGTGCGTAAGGCTGACAACCTTACCGCCATCTTTGAGCCGCTTGTCTAGATAATGTGGGACCCTCAACGTCTCACAACCTTATGGGCCTTCACGGCCTGGTACAGGGACAGCTTTACTTACTTTTACATCGGCTTATAGGTAAGGTGTTATAAAGGTTTCAAGTTACCGGTGGTCTTGTCTACAGCAGCACGTACCTGTTGCGTACAGTATTCTGAAGCAGCTGAAGAACTAACACCTGCAACTCGGAAATGACACGATGGAGGGCTCTGTATCGTTATCAGCAGACTGAGAGAGAGAAGATCGATTTCACATATCTGTAACAAGAATCACCCAATGAGGACATAGCCTCTGTTATAAAGTGTTAACGGTATTTGTTGCAGATAAGAAAGTCCATAATCCTAAATCACTGGAAATTTGCCTCACCCATTTCGTAACCTTGTTACAGCTATATGATCCTGTTTGGGAAGAACCTACGTAGCTGATCCAGCGGCAGCACTCGTTACTAATATTCTGCAGGTACTCGGTTCGAATCTCGCTACAGACTCCGGTTATCCTGAGGTTTTTCGTGGATTTTCTTCAGTCCCTTCGCGGAATGCCAGGATGAGATTTCGATTATGGCATGACCGCTTCATTTCATGTAATTTTCATTTCATCATTCATCCAATCAACCGTCGTTACGTAGTCAACATAAAGTTTTCCTTGTACTTAATTAAGCACTTTGCCATGAAGACATATTGGGGAGTGGAAGTGTAGCTCCATCATTCTTGTACTCGACATTAGATGAAGATGAGTGGTCAGCTAAACGCCCCGGCCGCTTTACCCCGGGGAAATCGTCCCTGCTAGCCATAGAATAGGAAGCTGGGTGAACCCCAAAGCTGGTCTGGACGCCAAGAAGAAGAAATCTTGCCATGTCGGGAATCAAACCTGGGTCGTCCAGCCCGTAGCTATACCGACTGAGCTATCCCGACTCCTTATGTAGTCTAAATAGTGACAACATTCTTAAATAACATATGAAAACAGGGATAACAGGAGGCAGGTGAATATTCGAATACTGCACTAGGAGCAGCTACAAAGGATAATCCTCATCTACTGACTGCAGGGTGTTAAATTTAAGGAAGATCGGATGACTCAGGCATGAGGACGCATAGGCGAGATGAGAATTGCTTGGAAACCCTGGGTACAAGAGACCACTTATATAATTATAAAACTTAGCTTAGACTTCATCTTAAGTACATGATGCGTGTTTACTGGCCCTTTAAGGAAGTTTGCACAGGAAACAGTTAATATGGTGTTCCTGCCTCCCCCACCCCCTTTCGACGAACTAAACTTTCCTAATATGTGAAAACTGTAATATGTTTCAATCATACGCATACATGAGAACCAGCAAATCATAAATGAATATGTATAATAAGTAAAATATAAGCATTTATATGAGGCGAGGAGTGGCGGTGGCTCATAACAATCCTTTACATAGCATGTTCGTCACCGAAAGCCGTGGCAATAATCATGTTGTTCTTGTATTCCCATTGCTGGTTGTTGCCTCCGTGGTAGGGCCACAGGATCACGTCTGCGCCATTCCTTACTTCGCTGTTCCTAACGTCCAGAACCTTTCCATTGGACACACTCCTGATAATGAAAGTCATGCTGAAGAGTACCTGTATAAATGCATATTAATACACGTTGTTATTAGAAGTGAATACGTATATAGACACTTCCGGCAGCATGCGCAATACCGCGTCCAGGCTCCCTGCGAGCCTCTTATACCTGCTGTCCGGCAGCATGTGCAATACTGCGCCCACGCTCCCGGCGAGCCTATTATACCTGCTGTCCGGCAGCATGCGCAATACCGCGCGAACGCTCCCTGCGAGCCTCTTATACCTGCTGTCCGGCAGCATGCGCAATACCGCACCCACACTCCCGGCGAGCCTCTTATTCCTGCTGTCCGGGAGATTCCGCTCTTAATCTTTAAATTCACATATGGACGTCCCTTCTCTTTTCACCTCCATTTGATCTTTTATACTCAATGAACAATCACTCGAAGCAACCTCACATCCAACTTGTCATTTTCCCCTCATTCACAAATCACTGTACTTACTTACTGACTCATGGAGCTGAGTCCTTCTTGAGGAGCGGCCAATTCTGCAGCTACTCAAGAATTTCCCAGCATTTTATGGAACCCCAAGGTTCATTACTGTGTTCACAAGAGCCTTCCACTAGTCCCTATCCTGACCCAGACCAATCCAATCAACACCATCCCATCCTATCTCTCTAAGATTCATTTTAATATTATCCACCCACCTACGCCTTGGTCTTCCCAGTGGTCTATTTCCTTCTGGCTTTCCCACCAATATCCTATATGCATTCCTCATCTCCCCCATTTGTGCTACATGCCCTGCCCACCTCATCCTCCTTGACTTGTTCATTCTAATTATACTTGGAGAAAAGTACAAGTTATGACGCTCCTCATTATGCAGCTTTCTCCAACCTCCTGTCACTTCATCTCTCTTCGGTCCAAATATTCTCAACACCCTGTCACAAATCACTGTAATTAACAGAATTTATGTTGTTCCAAATTTAACTTCATATTTCGATGGGGGCACGCGGTAGCGTAGTTGGTTGAGGCTTTATGCTACTACCCGGAAGGTCGCGGGTTCGATTCCCAATGATGTCATTGGATTTTTCAATTGCCCTAATCCTTCCAGCCGCACTATGGCCCTGGGGTCGACTCAACCTCTAACACAACTGAGTAACAGGGTCTTCCTGAGGGTAAATGGCGGCCGGCGCGTAAGGCTGACAACCTCACCGCCATCTGTGAGCCGACTGGCTAGAAAATGTGGGAGCCTCGACGTCACACAACACTGTGGGCCTCCACGGCCTGTTACAGTGTAATCGCAGTCTCAGTAAACCTGTTACCCCTCTCTCACGCACCTCTGATTGTAGTTTGTAGTTCTCTGCCTCCTGCTTCAAAGAGAACTTCAAAGAGAACAGGTGTCAGTAACGTAAGTTACACGGTGGATGACTTAGGAAAAGTGTTAAATTAATATGCACCAGCAGTCTGGGAGAACTTGAGATTCCTTTCAGGGCTTTATGCAGTCCTTGTTTCGACGAGACTGGAGAACAATTGTCACTAATCACGCAACAAGATTAAAAAAAATGACTTCAATCACAGATTCACTCACAACACTTAGTTTATGTTTTTGGAGACACTATCAGTTCTTTTAGGTTTATTTATAGTAGAACAAATATTACAGTCCCTTTGCAGACTGATACATGATGAGCGACACCTTTACACGTCTGCTTAATTCAGAGGTTATTTACAGATTTTTATCTTCTGTAGAATGTTAACTAGTCGTAATGCGCGGTCTGCACTAGGTCTGATTGGCTTTCAGCCTTTCATTTCTCCGGGATGATGGCACGACCAATCAAATATTAACACTGCATTATACCATTTAAGCTTCTAGCACAGTCTCCATTGCTCCATCGTTACTGAACTAAGAAGCCCTCTCCGATCCTTCTGAGACTTTCCGGGTAACCATATTACGTCATACTGAGGAATCTTCTATGTGGCGTTTAGCTTTCTGAGTTATTGCAAAATGTTGCAACATACTCAAGCCAATTAATTCTTAATAAAATAAATGTATATTACAATCGTCACATATTTAGAATAATATATATGATTAGTTAGTTAGTTATTAGAGAGGGTGGGTTTCCCCATGCACTTAGAACTGTATTGGTCCACTGTGCTTCCCTCTATGATTTCTACCAGTCTCTATATCCTACCGGTACTGGTGCTTACCATCAGTCCCGCCCAGCCAGCGAGACCGGCTCTACTAGCTGAGAGGTATCTATAATGCTTCCCCCATCTACCAGAGGTATTAGAGACTGCTGTTGGGCGGAAAACGTCCGTAATTTGGCTCAGTGACCTCCTTTGGAGATATGAGGTTCTTTTACGTGCCGTAAAGCTACGACACGGGACCCACGGCTTAAAGTCCCTCCCGGAGGACTTGTTCCCTGAATTTTTCCGCCCTTAAAAATTCGACGACCTCCGCCGGGTATTTGAACCCGCGTACTACGAGTCATGAGGTGGGAACGTTACCTCTAGACTACGGAGGCCGCTATATATATATGATTAACTTAATATGTAAATTATAAATGTATATGTACTCGGACACATGAGAGTAGGAGGGGATAATCAGTTATAACAGGGATAGATTTGCCTTATGTATTTCGATACCTAGTGTTAAACAATAGGTTTCGAATGCTCCTGTACATACGCACGCTGTAAATAAATATCTCAACATTTCTATAGTCCAAGCAGAATTTACATCCATCCCGAGCGAGGCAGCGGCATCAGCAACATTTTTCACATAGGCTCCTCTGGGAGTGTCTGCTTCAGCAGAATTATCGTCACATTTTACTGAAAAATCAGTTTCATTATTATAAACGTCTCACGCAGCGCGTCTTACGACTCCGCGAAACCGTAATACCATCGTGTCTGCAAGCCTTGTCGCTGACGTCAGCTTTGACGTATTGTAACTGTAGTAGGGACTTCGGAGGTCACTGTCTCCATGAGGGAGACATCAGAATTGCAGTCAGCTGGTGGGATTGAAGGGACCTGCATAGGAGTGGGTAGGGCTATCCGTCTCCTTTGAACGTCGATCGCTGTGTCGAACTTACAAATTTCTATTTCTTCATTTAAGTCTGTCTCCCCAGGTACCTGACACAATGTTCCGTCTTACAGAAGTCGACTTCCTCCTTTTTCCCTTATTGTTACGAAAATATCGAAACCTTCCCTTCTTATAGCTAGTTTCTCCCATTTTCACAACTCTTTTTCACGAGTAATCATTATANATTGTCTGCCTCACAGTACCGCCTTACAACTTCCGACGAAGCTGTGTTCATACCTGTTACAGTTTCTTCCTATTGGGTGGGGTACTGATAATATTGTCACGAGTTTGCGGTGTCACTATAGACGGGGTTTGGTTTGATGAATGGATTTAGTGACCACGTTAGCACACGATTCGTAATTAAAAGTAATTACAGCGCTATCGCTAATTTCCAAATTTACAAATCACCACAGCGCCCGCTAAACCTCTTCCCAGCCTGCTGTGTCTTCTCCAGCCGTTTCCTGGCAACGGCTTCTAAAAGTGGAGATTCTTCAGCTTCACGCTCTCAGGGCCTCTTGTCAACTGTCAGTTCAAATATAGTGCCATCTCCTNCTTCCCTTCCCTTGGCACTACAGCCCCAGTGGGCCTAGGCCTACCTCCATGAACTTCTCCGTTCACTTCGGTTTTTCTAGATCTTACACATTCGGTAGGACTCCTTGGGCGGGTGATCAGCTCGTCGCAAGGAACGCTACTATATAGAATCGATATATTGATCTACACTGCTTTCGAATTATGTTTTGGCACAGTAAGCCTATAAATATTAGGAATAACTGTATCGTATTACCTTAGAAATTCAAGTGGGCGTGTTACTCGTGAAAACATTCCACGCAAAGTCCTACGTCACACGCGTCACACCAGTACACAGTTTTGGACACACTACACACCGCTTCTGTGGTCTTGATTTCTTTGCAGTTAATGGAGATACGTTTGTACCGTAATAAGCGCACCAACTGCGAAATGGAAAATTTTTCAAAGAATTCAAATGCTACGAGGAGTTCAAAGTGGGACAACAAATATACGAAATGATAGCCCCAAATTTCCTCTTTAATTTCATACCAAAAGAATTACTTTGCATGAAAAACAACAGTTCAAATTACGTGCTGAATCCTACAGCTGCACTACGCATGCTATGTACATCGGACGCCGACATGTGACAGAACTCGCTGGCATGCAATGTACGGACTAAGGCGTTGAAGAATTCATTTCGGTCAGCACTCGATTGTCTGCCTCACAGTACCGCCTTACAACTTCCGACGAAGCTGTGTTCATACCTGTTACAGTTTCTTCCTATTGGGTGGGGTACTGATAATATTGTCACGAGTTTGCGGTGTCACTATAGACGGGGTTTGGTTTGATGAATGGATTTAGTGACCACGTTAGCACACGATTCGTAATTAAAAGTAATTACAGCGCTATCGCTAATTTCCAAATTTACAAATCACCACAGCGCCCGCTAAACCTCTTCCCAGCCTGCTGTGTCTTCTCCAGCCGTTTCCTGGCAACGGCTTCTAACAGTGGAGATTCTTCAACTTCACGCTCTCAGGGCCTCTTGTCAACTGTCAGTTCAAATATAGTGCCATCTCCTGTCGGTCTCCCTTGCAGAACTAAACTGAACTGGTTGCCCAGATTCACTTATTTTTCACTCCTCGGCGCGGAATGCGTAAACAACACTCCATTTCCCCGTTGTGTGAGTAACCGTTGCCGCGGGAACGTGTTCACCGATCCGTTGCCTAGAAACAGGTTATTTAACACGGTTGTTCATTCGCGTATTGCACAGCAACGACTGTACATGCCACGATATCATTCGTAACATTGTCAGCGCCAGAAATAACGGCATAAAAATGCACATTACAATTCAATCATTCTGCACCTCCAATCTTAAGTTCCCAAGTACTTGGCCTAAATCCGGTTTCCTCTGGCTATATCTGTGTCCAAGGTTACCCCATTTATAGGTTAAAACCTTACCTGATTAAACACTATACACAGCATCACCATCAACCACACGCTTAGGCCGTCCTTGTAACCACGCCTTTCCTGCTGCTAGAAGACTGGTCTTCGCCCTATCTACCGCAAGCGCCTGACCTCTACCCAGTTAAAAGCGTTATCAGTGGGTTTCAGAGTCGCATTCTTGTTTCCGGCCTCACTTCTCTGCCTGTCAGCTAGTTAATCAGTCACTTACATTCCCGAACTGTGTGCACCTCGTGTTTCTTTCTGAACCCCGTCTGTGCTACATCGATCTCCCTATTGTCAGCACTGTCTTTCTCCTGCCGGCTACTTTTGCCTGTTTTTAACACTCCACTCATACTCAGACATACTCNACACCACATATACATGGTGCCAAATCCCAGAAGAATGCTTTCTTCAATTAACACTCCAGTCATGTTCAGACATACTTTCTTCTTTCATGGCTTTAGCTACACTATTTGTGTAACGTGAAAACGCCATAAAATATCCTGTCATATCGATTTCCCAACATCTCAGCATCGTAATTTCAAACTAGCTGTTTCCTGTCGACTTAACTATAATTCCCTGTAATGTAGTCGTGTATTACTCATTAGTTTCCCAATTTTTTGTAGGTGAGGCTAGTCCTACAACAGTTCTCTAAACAATACTACTACTTTCAGTGGCGGATTTTCTGTTTCAATAAAATTCCAATAACCAATTGTATAATTATTACACTCTATACTTTCTGCTGATGATTTTGCTATGATTTCACAGTTTCTGGCTACTGGGGGTTCGTCTCTTCCTTCAACACATTACTTGTAACTCAAATTTTGTGACGTGTCGTTTTTCTTTTCTTTCTTCCTTCATGAGGTTCCCCCACTTTCTAGTATACTCAGAATTCTAATATGCTTTATCCCAAATACCGTATTTACGCATGTATAGGCCGCACATTTTTTGCCAAAAATTCAAGAGGAAAACTGGGGTGCGGCTTATATTCGAAATATTCGAAATCACACTTCATTTTAAAAAAATTATATTCATAATTAGTAATACAGGGTGTTCTACTCCTGAAATAATATTCCAAGAAAATTATTTTTTCTATAATTTCTGTCTGAAAATTGTGCTGCGGCCTATACATGCGTAAATACGGTAAGTTCGGGGTGTCTTACAGTTTTCCCATAGTTAGCTTATAGGTCACCTTTCTTACCGGTAGGAGGATCTGCAGCGAGAAGCATCCCATTTTCCCCTGAATTGTCATTTCATTATCCAAACACTTAACTTTGAGGAGGGGCCTCAAGAGAACGATGTTAAACCTCGGTTACGGGAAGGGTTTAGTCACCGGGAACAATAATCAGGAAACTACATGCTTCTGTATCAGGTATTTAAAACAATTATAAAATAAATAAGCTTTATTTTTTTATTTAGAAAGTTGAGTGTTTCTCAGTGCTAGATCGCGGCTCAGTCGTCTGCGGGCACGATCCGGAATTTCTGGTTGTCTTTCCCGTGTTTGGAGAAAGCCAAGAGACCGCTATTGTTATCTGTTGCGGATTTTTCCACATCCAGCACGAAACCGAGTCCGCTCCTGATCGTAAAATCTTCGTCGAAGTGCCACTTCTGGTTGTCTCCTCCGTGTTTGTCCCACAGTATGATCTTTCCATTCTCGGAACCTCCTTGTATATCCAGAGCAAGTCTGCAACCGGACAAATTACATTGTAAATGAAGAAAGCAGTCTTCTGGGATTTGGCACCGTGTATATGTGGTGTTAACCGACGTTTCGGAGGAACGTATCGCCTCCATCTTCAGGGTAGAAGAAAAAATATAAGAATTCTGCAAGCATTGCAGAATTCTTATACCGGTCTCTCCGCTTGCAGAATTCTTATATTTTATTTTTTTTATTTTATTTCTTATATTTTTCCTTCTACCCTGAAGATGGAGGCGATACGTTCATCCGAAACGTCGGTTAACAGCACATATACACGGTGCCAAATCCCAGAAGACTGCTTTCTTCATAGTCACCGCCGTGAAAGCCTCAAATCTTATACATTGTAAATGTCTCTGATAACGGTGGGCTGCATCACACAATTAGGAATGACTTTTGCAGGTGTACATTGCCTGTGTTTTTTCTATATTTATTTCGTTTCCACGGGAACATGTCTATCTAGCCGTTGCCTAGCAACGCTAAAGGGGGATACACATACAGACACACTGATTTATGAAGTACGCCATTGAGATGGGCTCAGTTGCCATGGCATACGTATCGAGTTTCATAAAGATTGGTTCAGGCATTCGAAAGTTGATATTGGTGGAATACACACAGACAGCAAGGAGATGGCATAAGCCTACTTTCATTTTTTTTTTCAAAACAAGGAAATTACGCTAAAAATATGTACACTCTTACTACAAATCTTAGTTCTCTCTTCTGATTCTAGTGCGACGGAGAGGGAATTAATTTTCCAGGTGTTCCTCTACTAAAAGACTGAGATCCACTGTACTAGAGTGTTTTGCAGGTAACATTATGATGTATTACTTCAAGTGTATCTTGCGTTCAGTTACTATTCGTATCATTGCTGAAAAAAACAAATTCCGTGGATTTAGGCCGCAAGCGAACTATACCGACCGAGCGACCACCGCTTGTCGGCGACGTTACATTGATTGAGCTTCATAAATGTGGTCACTGTAGTGAAACCTGGGATATGAATGAGAGTGTACGAATGTCGACACTCACCCATTGAGTTTGCTGATGATCATGCCGTCCTTGTATTTCCACTGCTGGTTCTTGCCGCCATGGAAGTCGTAAATAATAACTTCTGCTCCGGGGTTTTCGTTGTTGTCCTTGACGTCGAGATATTTTCCGGAATGCACACTCTGGATGTAGAAAGTCATATTCTCGCCACTTTAAGTAGAATGAGATATTGATATTACGACATGAAATCGAAGATACTGTACTGTGACTGAAATATCCTTTGGGAGTGCTTCGCTATCGCATGAATGAATGAATGAATGTATAAGGGGTGGGCCTTCTCGGCCCTTGCACCGCGACCTTCAATGATCTTTTGTGCTTCCCCTTTTGATTATCTCCTCAGCAATCCTGCGCTTCATTCGAAGCACAGGATTTTGTACGTGGGGGCGTCGAATTAGTCACTTGGTTTCATAAAATATAGCTTCGCCATCGCATAGTGACGTATGTATTTACGTCATCATTAGACTTATGTATTCTACATCCAGCACAGGATGAGAACCAGTATCCTTATGCCGGAGATCTCGTTTGAACACAGGAATTTTCTGCCCTAAGTTTGCCTACTCACACAATATTGTCCTGCCTGTTGTGCTTTCAGAGCGATTTCATGTATAACACTTACAAGCTTATCCTATTTGCATGAATGTTTCTCTTAAGGTGTTGTTACATTTACACGTAATGTTATTTTACTCCTGTGTTTGACGGGTAAACCTGGGGGAAGGAGACCACTAGGCGTAGATATAGGTGGAAAGATAATTTTAAAATGAATCTTAAAGAAGTACAGAATGATAATGGACTTGATTTATATACATATTATTTATTATACTGCAATTGGGTTTTAGCCCGGTGGCAGTAGTACACAATAGGACACAACAGACAAGTAACACACATTACAATAAGTGACAACACGTTCAAACAAAGCACAATACACAAAACACAACAATAAGGACATCCTACCACAGTGAATACAAACCAAATACGATTAACAACTACAACAATTACAGAGAAATACAAACAACTGCAACAAATACGACAACAACAAGGACATCCTACCACAGTGAATACAAACCAAATACGATTAACAACTACAACAATTACAGAGAAATACAAACAACTGCAACAAATACAACAACAATTACAGAGAAATACAAACAACTGCAACAAATACGACAACAACAAGGACATCCTACCACAATGAATACAAACCAAATACGATTAACAACTACATCTTGATCTTGTGACAAGTGATCCGTTGCGTGCTTTTTGTGTGCACGGTAATGAAACTTCGAGTTATAATCTGTAGGAAATTTCAACACTAGCTGATCAATTGTTAGCTTCTTAAGAGAGACTCTCCTCCACGGAGGCAGTTACATAAAAAAATCCGTGGCCTATAGTCCGCAAGCGAACTATACCGACCGAGCGAGGGAGTTACATATTTTCATTAAATATTCATCGTATCGAAACATGTTTGAAATAAAATTTGAAATGTCTTTCCGATTTGTCTGTTTTACGACACGACAGGGCGTTTTGAAAAAGATGCTAAAGTTATGTTTGCGAGAAATCACTGCGAAGCACGGTCAGAAAGAATAGAATCGTGAATTACGTGTGTGACAAATTTCGTAACTTATATTTTATACTTGCCTAGGACGAATGCAAGTAAATTTGATGCACTTAATACTGGGAAAATCGGAATTACAACTTCCACCTCTTACTGATTTTATAATCTCATATGTTAATCTTCCTAGCAAATATCAGGAGTATTGAAGAATTGTTCAGAAGGCATACACATGGTATGTATCTAAGGGTGTAAAAATGTAAAGTTGTCCCTGTGCTTAACTAATTAAGCACTACCGACTACGCTATCCCGGCATTCTTAACTTCATACTGTGCGTAATACCAAAATGGCAGCTTGCGAACTACTTCGGAGGATGCAACATTACTGCCACTTACTGTCAGGCCCTCAAATATTGTGTAGCAATAGACTTTGCTAAAAGTAAGCAACTATTGTTCATGTCATATTTTTTTACAATATGATCGCCGTGAATTGTATTTCTACTTGTCCGGTTGATGGTGTTAACTAAGAACTCATCGAAGCTAGGCATGTGCTATTTGATTAAATCTTAAAAATATAATTATACATTCTGTAATTCTGCATAAAAAATTTTTCTGTATGTTAAATTATCGAAAATAACGGATGCGATAAAATGACTTTATATCTGGCGTTATCAAATTATGGTAATATATCAGCTGATAGTGGAAATTATGCACAAAACCATACCCATAAATTGTGTAATTGTTCATCTGTAATTTTTGATAACAGTTATCTTCACGTGGGAGCACTTTAAGGAAAACGGGCGCCCAGCATTCTTGCATATATTGTTTATAATTTCTAATAGGGTTTATATTCTATGATCTTTTTGATTTTAATCCTTTGACCCGTTTGATTGAGAAACTGGTTGGTTTTTAGTGATTAAACTGTGCTTTCAATTTCGCTGGATATGTAACGGGGAAAATAGCTTGATATGACTGTTTAGACATTATGTTGAAGGGAGAGGTCATGGTCTTCACGAATTTATACTATTCCAGAAGATCTTATGAGGATCTGAGTAAACCCACGAAGAACCCCAGCGAGGATATATTTTGCCTCCTTGACGAGAATCAAACTCGGAACCTCTCGCATACGGAGCACAATTGGTAATTAGCGATTGATATATTTAATATTTCATTGTTTACCATACGATACATAAATTACGAAGATTCTGCTTCGGCCGCGCCATAGCTCAAGCGGTTAGTCGCTGGCTTCCCACCGCGGCGGCCCGGGTTCAATCCCGGGTCTGGTCGAGTGGAATTTATGGTGGACAAAGTGGCGCTGGAGCAGGTTCTCTCAGAGTACTTCGGTTTTCCCTGCTAATCTTCATTCCACCAATTGCTCCACAATCACCTTCACCTATCATCTAGAGCTGGTACAAAAGGCCGGAAGTGGCCGCAGTACAAGGGACTTGGTCCCACCCCACTAGCAATAAAAAAAATGTCTACTTCACAGTGCTGTAACGGCTCTGACTCAAGATGTTTTATTTTTACAGTTTTTCAGTAGTTATCTTTCAAAACACCGAGGCTCTCTTTACAACCCGCATATTCTGTTGTGTGATAAGAAAAACTTTCTCACTTACCTCTTTCTTGTCTCTTCTTCTCGTGAACGCAGGCAGATGTCTGTTTACGCGTCTGTAGCACTTTCTACTTTATACTCGCATAAAGCCACAATCTAATCAGCACGTAACCAATAGAATCTAGCTGCCCTAATCTTCCCCGAAAATTACGCATATCCACATTTCACCAATGAAATATTTTCCAGGAACAGGAATGAGACAGAAAAAGTACAGGATGCGATAAGTACCGCAATAATGTAGGATTTGAGGTTCCTACCATGTTGGTTATGAGGTATTCTGTCTGCCGAGATATAACGCCATGTAGTATGTTGGAAGTCAACCAATATTTCGGAAGAATATATCACCACCATCTTCAGGATCGAAGAAGCCAGCATAAGTAGCAAGAAATTGAGGCAACATGTTCCTCCGAAACGTCAGTTTACTTGACGACTATCCCAGAAGATAGAACTCTGCACTCACGTTTTTATATTTTGAATACATTTACCTATCTATGTTATCTGAAGGAGGTGTGACACAGGAGAATTAATCCATTGGTCTGGACGTACGCATTCAGCTTGTTCCCTCATAGTTACATAATTCAATAAAAGGTGTTAAAGAGAGAGTTACAGGCTTTAATCGGGTATAGTACTAACTTAAATAAGCAAAACAGCCCCAGCCAATATACCCAGAAACCAGTACCTGCTGAGATCCCTACAGTAGATGTTATGTGTGGTTCCCACGCATTTCAACAAAACTTTCAGCTGTGTAAGATTTGAGGTTTTCACGGCGGTGACTATGAAGAAAGCAGTC